GCCGCGCACATGGGGACATGCGTCGCAGTCGCGGCGTGCTTTCCACCTGCAGGCGATCGATGACCACTTGGGCGAGTGGTTCCACCTCGCCAGGTGCGCAGAGGGGAGGCCCCGGATGAGCGCCAGAGGCAGAGGCGAGGTCCACTTCGCGAGCGCCTCTCGCGGCGGGCGCGATGGATCGACACCAACCTCCAGCGTGGCAGGAGCGAGGCCGCGTGGCGCCAGGAGCTGCGAGGCCGCGGGCTCCATGCAGGCCAGGCATCCCAGATCGCCGTCGGCTCGGCCAGCGACGAGAGAGGGCAGATCGACGCCATGCGGGCGGTCGTCAAAGGCGCGGCAAGGCGCGCCCGGCGCGGCTGGGCCAAGGTGCGAGCGCGGCTGCGGCAGCGCTTCAAGGAGGCCTCCGTGGGCAATGCCGGGGGCCTGTCTCGGATGACAAGGCATGTGCGCATGTGGACACTCGCGATCAAGGGCAACACCAGGTCGGCCGAGCCCCAAGTCATGTGCAAGGCTGGGATGGCGACGTGAAGCCGTGTCTGGCAGGCCCACTGCGAGGACGTGCAGACTGTGCGGCGCGCTCAGTTGGACGGGGCTGCAGATGATGCTGCTGCCCGTGCTGGGCGGCCCTACAATGAGGAAGGTGGCGAGCCGCGTCAAGGAGTGCACGGGGCTGGGCCTCGAGAAGTGCAGCCCTCGCGTCCTGTGCCACAGATCCGCGGCGGCGGTGGACGCCTTCGCGCAGCTCCTCATGACGGTCGAGGCCTCCGTCCTTTGGCCTCCGCAGGTTCACCTCCTCATCCGTTTCATGTTCCCGAAGGCCGCTGGCGGCCTCCGACCGATCGGCAAGATGTCGACGCTTGTCAAGCTGTAGAAGGTTTTTGAGTCACCATGGTTTCGCAGTGGATGTCGCGAGCCACTCGACGCTATGACTGGCCCCGACGCCGCATGCAAAGGCGCAGCGTCCACGCCAACCAGCCCGATGCGCCCACTGCCACGGACTTGCCCCCTCGAGGTCGAGCTCGCGCAGGCAGCCGGCGAACCACGGCACCGTCTCTGGGACGCCCTCTGTGCGACCTCGGCCGCACGACCACGCCCAGTGACAGCGAGGTCGTCCGCACGCTCGCCCGAGTCCACGGCAGGACACCTCACGGGCGCCTCGTCCACGTCCTCGTCCTCCGGGTAGTCGGCCGCGCACGGCTCCTGGACCGGGTGCCACAGTGCACGCAGAAACCTACTGAATCAAACCTTGGGGATGAGGGAGAGCGAGAGGAAGGACGAAGGGCGGGAGCGAGGGACCGACCGAGGACCGATCATGCCGCAAGGAAGAGGAGGAGGAGGAAGAGGAGGACGAGGAGGAGGAGGAGGAGGAGGGGGAGAAGGCGGAGGAACAGCACCAGGAGCAGGCGGAGGAGGAGGAGGAGGAGGAGGAGGAGGAGGCGGAGGAGGAGGAGGAGGAGGAGGACGAGGAGGAGGAGAGGGAGAAGAATCAGGAGGAGGCGCAAGGATCGATCACGACGAGGTGGCGGCCCTTGGCCGCGGGCCCTCGGCGCCCGAGGCCGAGGCGACGCACCCGGGCCTGCGCCGGCGGAGCGAGACGCCAAGCGCGCGCGGCGCAGCCTCCTCCTCCTGCTCCTCCTCCTCCTCTCCTCCCCTCCCCTCCTCCTCCTCCTCCTCCCCCTCCTCCTCCTCCTCCTCCTCCTCCTCCTCCTCCTCCTCCTCCTCCTCCTCGCGGCCTGGGCGGGCCTCGGGCGCCCACGAGGCCGCCGCCGAGCGCTCCCGGCCGGCGGCTGTGCGCCAGGTCTCGGGGCGCCGCGGTCTGGCAGGTGGCGGAGGTCGGCCTCCAGCTGGCGGTCATCTTCGGCCACGGAGCGCCGGCCCTCACCCCGCCCGAGGTCCAGCGCGCGCGGACGTTGGACGGCCCGGCGCTGCAGGGCAGGGCGCGCCAATCCGAGCACGGCCCAGCCTCCCCCGTCATCCGAGCGAACAGGGAGATAGGCTGGACGTGGCCCCCTTGGGACACACTCACCACGCGGGAGGGTATCCACACCAAGGTGCCGCAGGTGTGCCCGCGCGACGTCCTGGCGCAGGCGAAGTGGGACGCGGAGCGCGAGCAGTGGGCGCGCTGCATCGCGCCTCATAGGGAGAGGGCCAGCCCAGCCCCGATCCCCCTCGTCGAGTCGCTGCGGAGTGTCTGTGATGAGTATCGCAGGCATTGGAGTGCAGGCATGGCCTTCGCGTGGCAGGCCATCACCAGCGCCCATGGACGCAGGCGCGCGCGCGCATGCCAGAGGCGCTGCCCCTGACCCCCACTGCCGCCTGTGCCTCCAGGCTGGCAGGCACGCCCTGGGCACGACGCAGCACCAGCTGGGCGAGTGCCCAGGCTACCGGGAGCACCGCGAGGCCATGCATGCCACCCGGCAGCATGGCATCGAGACGAGCCCCGACAGGCTGCGCCGGGATCTCGGCCTAAACCGCCCACCCCAGGTGGCAGCGGCCCTTCGCGCCACAAGTGGAGGTTGTGCGATCGACCGAGACCGACGGCAGCACCCTCTTCATCAGCGAGGTCGCCACAGACAACGCCTTGAAGAGGCGATGGCGATGACTGGGCAGGACAGGGTGAAGGAAGCACGCAGCGGGTGGCGCCGACCGAGGAGGCCAGCGCCGCCTTCCCCGCCCTCTGGAGACCGCTCCCCTTGCAGATGCCGGTGCGGCGCAACATCGACAGGTCCGAGTTGCATTCAGTGGCCGTCGTCCTCGACAGCTCGCTGCCGCCGCTGCGTGTGTATGTCGACCGCCAGTCGGTACTCGACGGCATCAGCGCAGGCAGCCAGTGGTGCACGCGCGCTGCCCGTCCGTACGCGGACGTGCGGAGGCGCATCGCCAAGCCCTCACCGACGAGCGGTGTGAGGGCCAGGCCGGGGCCCGCCTGCCGCTCAGGCTTGAGCCGCGGGTGGTGGTCACGGCGCACGGCCATCACCTGCGGCACACAGGCCCCTGGGACCTCCTCCTCCTCCTCCTCCGCCTCCTCCTCCTCCGCCTCCTCCTCCTCCTCCTCCTCCTCCTCCTCCTCCTCCTCCTCCTCCTCCTCCTCCTCCTCCTCCTCCTCCTCCTCCTCCTCCTCCTCCTCCTGGTGTGCGCGCTGCGGCCGCTGCGCCCAGATGAGGCTGCCGCGGGCCTGCAACGCGCGTGGCCGGGCCACGTGCCGCAGGGCTGTTGTACATCACCGGCCTGCGAGCCGGCCGCGCGCCGAGGGCACGCCACGGCGGCCCGCCACAGCGGGGCCGCGCCAGGTCACTCTGCAGGAGTGGGAGGCGCGGGGCACTGGGAGCCCGTTCCTGTAGTCGCTGCGACAACGGGCATTCTGGGGGGGGGGGGGGGGGGGGCGGGGGGGGGGGGCGGGGGGGCATCAACTAACGCCCCCCCCCCCCCCCCCCCCCCCACCCCCGGCAGTGTGTTCCGGCACCACCGCAGCGTCCGCGCGCACGACGAGCGACGAGCGACGAGCGACAACGAAGACGACGACGACAACAAAGAGAAGAAGAAGAAGACAACGACGACGACGACGACGACGACGACGACGACGACGACGACGACGACGACGACGACGACGACAACGTCGACGACGACGAAGACGACGGCGACAACAACGTCGACGACCGACGACGACGACGACGACGACGACGACGACGACGACGACGACGGCGACGGCGGGGGGCTCCCACTCGGCAGGAGCGTGACGGGGCGCGCCCACTCCTAAGGCAAGGCTGGGTAGTTCGCACAGCGACCCTCTGCCGCATCATCTGTGTTGCACCACATCCTCCCATCTCCTCCTCCTGCTCCTCCTCCTCCAACTCCTCCTCCTCCTCCTCCATTCCCTCCTCCTCCTCCTCGTCCTCCTCCTCCTCCTCCTCCTCCTCTCCTCCTCCTCCTCTCCTCCTCCTCCTCCTCCTCCTCCTCCTCCTCCTCCTCCTCCTCTCCTCGCCATCATCATCATCAGCAGCAGCATCATCACCATTATCATCATCAGCTGCATCATCATTACCAGCATCAACAGCAGCATCATCACCACCACCACCACAACATCATCATCATCATCATCATCATCATCATCATCATCATCATCATCATCAGCAGCAGCAGCAGCATCATCATCATCGTCACCATGATAAGCATCAGCATCAGCATCGTCAACATCATCATCATCATCATCATCATCATCATCATCATCATCATCATCATCATCATAATCATCATCAGCAGCATCGTCATCATGATCATGATCATCACCAGCAGAATCGTCATCATCATCATCGTCACCATCGTCATCCTCAGAATCATCATCATCATCATCATCATCATCATCACCATCATCATCATCGTCATCGTCATCGTCATCGTCATCGTCATCATCATCGTCGTTATTACCATCGCCATCGTCATCGTCATCGTCGTCATCGAC